TTTTTTTTTTTAGAAACAATGTCGATTAATTAATTTTGAACGTGATTTCTTTTCTAACCTCCTGTGGGCTTTTTTAATTTCACCTGCACTATCCGCTTTTCATTTTGTTGTTATTACGCTGCTTTGCTTTTATTGACGCTTCATTGTGCAAATAATTAAGACAGACGTATAAAAACTGGTCGGTGGTAATCACGAGTGGACACTTGATGTATTTTGAAAATGTTGGTCGGTACAACTGACAAAAGACTAAATTGGTGGCTTACGGGAAAACAAAATATTGAAGTGTCACAAAATTGTTGTTGGCAGAAGCAAATCCTGATGGCTCTACCTTTATTTAAACTACAAAACAGCTCTCCCGCAGAAACTGCATCTAACAACACAAGCTGCTGAGCTCTCCTCTCGCACCGGTTTGGAAAGAGAGGTTGCATTATTCCACAAAGAGGAAATCCACGGTAACTCAATGCAGAATCGATTGCCGAGTCGACCGCCCTTGTTAAATCAAATCAAGACCAACATAGAGGCCTATAACAGTATAAGCAGGCAGCCCGGGGTGGTCTTTAAGGCCTGTGTTGCCTGTTCGGCTGGCACTACACCTGTGTTTGAAAGCCTAATTCAATAAGCAGCTTGACTAAAGAGAAATCTGATTTCTCTGGAAGGAAACAGCCACAACTGGAGGTGAGCTGTCAAGAGAGGCCGCTGCACTTCACACACACACACACATTCATGTAGACAACGCTCTGTGTGCGTGTGTTACGCAGAAAACAGAGAAACATGCAAAAACATCGAATCCAGCTAAACACGTACACGTTTTACGAGCGCCGCAATAAATGTGATGCTGTCACGTACGTGGAGAGGTTACTCCGTGGGCACAGATGTCACTTATAAATATAAATCATTGCAAATAAAACCCAGCCACTTCCACACTTAAGAAAAAAACGCATGGTCTCCATGGGTGGTCTGCTGTCAGAAAAGTAACCTTGAGAAGTGATAAAAGTTCAAAGAAATTCAAAGGAAAACAAGTTGGATCAAAGCAGCAGATCAGAGAAAAACTGCAGGAAAAGCACACACAGAGCTTCAGAGCGACATAAAGAAAGAATTTTTGAAACAGTGTGTAAAAGAATTTGTTTTAAATATAAGAGTGAGCAGTGTATGATGTGGTGTTGTAAATACACGAAAAAACGAAAGAAGGATGCCGTACCTGGTTCCAGGTCTGAGGAAAGAGCAGGTGCTTCCTCTGGTCCAGCCACAGTAAGGGTCCCTGGAGGCGATGCAGTTCCTGCAGAGGAGAGGAAACAAATTATTTGACTGCCTGGACCCTGAAAAGGTTCCCAGTTCTACTTTGGTGCCCGTAAGTGCACAGTGTGCAGCTGCCGCCTTAAATCGGTCTCTGGGTCAAAACAGCAACTAAACACAGAGACTGATGATGTCATGAAGCAGCTGATAACAATCTATTCAATGTGGCTCCCGGGAAATCACACTGGTGAGGTAATGCGTTACAGTTTTATTCATATTAGCTGTGAATGTTTATGTTAGCTCAGAAAAACAGCCACAGATGACATGATTTTAACAATGATGCAAACTGAAACACCTGCACAGGTAACGTAGCTAACAGTCCACTGTCAGAGAAACTAGAGGGGAGCAAAGAGGAGTCTGTAATACAGCGCGCTGTTAGAAGGAATACATTCAATAAAAAGAAATCTGTGTGTTTGGATATTTCATGGTTACAAATTTAACTCTTACTCAGAGTAACCCATGTTTCTCTCTTCTGATCCAAGTAGTTTCTGTCATATTTCAGGTCTGTCATTAAACAAAATAACTAGGTGTGCATCGCAAGTTAGTGATGTTGGTCTCTGAGTATGCAGCTACCTTTGGAAAAGGGTACAGGGGAGGTCATCAAACGCTGTCTATTTGGGGGAAGCGTTAAGGAAGCTTGGCTGCTAGATTTGCAGATTGTGACTATAGCTGCAGTTAACTGACTTTCATTAGCCATCACCCTGCTTATCTTTCTGGTGGTGTGCTCATGGATTAGACCAGCGGTCCCCAACCTTTTTTGCGCCACGGACCGGTTTATGCCCGACAATATTTTCACAGACCGGCCTTTAAGGTGTCGTGGATAAATGGGCAATGGTCGTGGGCAAATACTGATAATTAGGAGTGATGGTGTGAATTTTTTAGATGGATTTCCATCTCCTTGAAAGTCACTGACCTTCAAGTTTTACAGCCTGCAAAACATGTTTGATGCTATTCAGTGCAGTGAATATTTTGTCATTTTTGAGAAAAATCAATAGAGGGCAAGCTAATAACAGAGCTGTGAGGAGGGGCGGGCGCTTAAAAAACACTTCCTGAAAGACTGAAACTGAATTCTTGATGTTTAACTTGGTGACAGTTTGATAAACGGTCAAAATAAGTCTTTTGTAAAGGTTCTGATCATGGAGCTGAATGCTGTGCAAAGGGACCTTAATTTAAGACTTCTTAGGAGACTGTGGGAGTCTCAGCAGAGATCTGAGCTTTTCAACAGCAACCTTCACCAAAACGGATTCTCAGCATCAGCACTGCCTGAGGTTTTTCATCTAAATTTGACTTTCGAAAACATGAGTCATAAATTAGATATGTTAACACTATCACTCACTTCATATTTTTACTAATTCTCTTCAAGGTAAAGTCAGCCAAAATATTCCGGTACACTTCAAATTCATTCTGTGTGTTCACAGAAAAAAAAGTCCTGGCTCTCTCAATGGGAACAAAACAAAGTGGCTTGGACCGGCCCACATGTCACTACTCCAGCCAACCAGCCGCAGGGGAAGTTATTCCATGTGCACAGACTGTGCAGGACATCACTGTGAATCCCCGCACATTTCCAGACAAGAAAACAGCCGATGAATAACCACAGAGAGGAAAAAGTGTTTGTGCACATGCTTTGGTTCATTTGTGGGCATGTTTTCGGTCTTGTCCGTAATTAGGCGAACGTAGAGAAAGCCAGCACAAGAGCCAGATGTGAGGCAAGCTTGCAGGAACTGTTTACAAAGCATATGTAGTAAAAATGTGACTTTCAAATATTTTTTCTCTATAAAGCTGCTGACCAGCTCCAGCTCACCGGGACGTTTTGCAGTGGTTGGCAGGAGGTCACATTAGTTGCTGGCTTTGGTTGCGGTGGGGAACAAGAGGCACCTTTAATGGTTCCCCTGTGAAAACCTTCTAAAAATCTAAACAACTAACTTGGTGCTTTTTCCTCTCTTGCACTTTGAACGGCGTGTTTGTGTGTTTTAGCTATGACAAAAAGAAGTCAACATTCAAAGTCTGGAACATTTCTCCTTGGGTCAGCTAACTCAGTTGCTAAATGTCGTTGTCCTAGCAATGCACACCCATGAATTTGGAGCAGTGAAGGGAGGAGTGTGTTTATTTGGCTGTTAAGTTCAAATGTCAAACTTTCTGAAAAATTGCTTACTCCATCTCTAAGAATAAAATGGCATGTCCTTGAGTGCAGCAACAAATCTCCCCTGTTCACAGCTCCACTGATAATGTAATGCTGACAAAACCACAAATGCCACAGACTGCCAAAAAAGTGTCCCAAAGACTGCAAGTTTTAAACAAAACTGGTGTCAATAACACTAAACATATTTCGGATAAGAGTATTAATCTAAACCACATATTTAGAGATATCTAAATATATATATGTCTGGTAATTTTTTGCTTTTTTGGTGGAATGATTGCACAGCATATATCTTTAATGGCTTTTTTATTTAAAAAAAAAGTCTGAATTGCTTTCAGATGTCTCTAATTCACACAAGCTCAACGTTATGGCCGATGGCTCAACAGTATCTTTTAACTTGACAAGGCCTAGGCCAATTACGTTTTTGACTAGAGGTGATAGTTTCTCTTTGCAGCATTAAGAGAATTTGTTTGACAGCACTCATTGGACTGACCAAAACTCAGAACCATGGGAAAGTCCAAAGAATTTAGTGAAGATCTCAGAGGGGGGATTGGACTACCTCCTATCAGTAGCTAGATGACTGAAACACAGTCAGGTGTTCCAACTGGACATTGATCCCAAAAACACATCAGAGCTGGTTGGGGAGTGGATAAAGCAGGCTAACATTAAGCATCTGGAATGGCCTTCCCAAAGCTAATGAAATCAGAGGACGGCTCTTAGAAGCCGGGTCTGTGCCAGGAAACCATCTGATTTAGAGAACTTTACCAATTCTGCCAAGAAAAATCGTCAAATATCAGCCAGAATCATGGCAGAAGCTGACGGTGACTAAAGGCGTCTTCAAGGGGAAACTTACTAAGGTGTATTTAGACAAATATTATAGGTACAGCTATATCTGCAGCACCAAACCAGCTGGCAGTCTTTCTTTTTACCAAACTACCAGCACAGTAACAGCAAAGGTGCAAAAGTTAAGGACAGATGGTGTAAAAGATGGGCGTAGGTTTAGAGTCTGCAAAATGAAGCAAGCATAAAATGTCTTTTAAACCTTAAGACTGTCTTCTTTCTAATGACCAGCAGGGGAAGACTCTGCATGCACCTTTAATGATATTCTGCACCAGAGCTTAATGAGCCAGAGTTAAACGACATCAAAAGATCCAGCTGTACGCTCGGCACACAGCATAAAGCCAAGCTGTTACTATGAAATACTGAAGATTTTATTTAAAAATGCAAGCATATCAAACAGGATTAAAGTCAGGTGGAAAGGAATCTGCACATCAACTGTCATCGCACTGAACCAAATTCAAAGTGCTCAAAAATATTCTTCAAAGGTTAAAAAAAATAGACTTGAAGCCAGCGAAGCATGACTAAGAAATATTTAACCTATTTGCACACAGAAAATTAACTCTCATACACACATCGAAAATAAAAGTGCACACGCCATACACACCTCAGAAAGCATGCGAGTGCTTTCTTAATGTGCATTACACGCTTGTACGACTCACCTGGTTCAGTGAACACAACTGCACGCCTCATGTACCAGAGTGTGTACCAGTCTGTGTTACTGTGTCAGTGGACTCTGAAGGGCCACAGCCACGGGCAACTAGACTGAAGTGTGATTCTCTCCAGTGTGCAGACTGTGTGGGTGTGTGCAGGTGAAACAGCCTTGCTTTGAATAAATCTTTATGTTTATGTTTGCAGCACAGCCAGGCTTCCAGAAATGTAGTGATGAACAGAGTGATCAGGAGGGTTGGGTGCTAAGTTACTAGCTAAAGAGTAACGAGCTTGCTTTACAAGGATCATCTGTACACTGTATGGATTCACAACTACTAAATAGTGCTGAAACAGAACAAAAATTAAGCTTTAATTTTACTCATTGAAAGCCAGACTGAGCACAGATTTTTTTTAGATGATCTGTGAGCACAATTAACAGCAAAGCAAGCATTTAAAATGCTCCAAACAGCACCAAGAGCAGTCGCTAACTCACATTAGCTGAGGTGATGACTGCTGTGTGACCGCAGCTACCGTATCTGGCACTTCTCTTTTCCTTTTTCCTCTTTGCTTCAAAGATGGGGACCAGGTCTGCAACCGCTCGCAGTGAGTTTTTGTGTTCAAAGCGCATTTGTGTGGCTATAAGACGCTAACTCAGTCTGCTATCAGTTTGCAATACAGTGGAGTCAAGTTGGCAATTACATGCATCGCAATCAACTGCGATAAATCAGTGCAAATCTCAAATCTGTTGATGTCTGCAAACACAGAACTTTGCATTAACTAACATTCAGAGTCGACCCAAAACCTCACAGATGTTGAGGAAATTCACAAAGGTAGTTGCTGCAGGATGCTGATATATGACACGGGCGACTTTGCTTTAATAAAACCAGAATACAAGCAGTTTGCTGAGAGCTGAGTCGAGTTCCTTACTGCGAAGACACACACTTTTGATCTGCACTTTTGCCTCCCATCACCTTGTGATCTCGGTTGGTTGCCAAGAGGTTGAGGGTGTTGCTCACTCAAGTTGGTCACTGCAAGGACATTTCAATCTGGACTTTTTGGAGCTGGCCTTTTGGGATTTGTGGAAGTATTTGGTCGTTGGGTTTCGGAAGTGTTTGCCGCGTAAGATTTGCTTTTCTGCTCCGTTTCTGCTCAACTGCAGGACTCGTTCACATCATTACTACTCTGCTATCAAGTTAAAATATCATGTATTGCATTATCAGCAATTATTATTACTGGAAAGTAAAATTATGCTGCACACGACAGAGTAAAACAAAAATAATACACCGCTATTTTAATTGAATATATTACATTAAAAGCTTTCACTTGATTTTATGCCAACTTATTCACCTATTTTATTAAAGTTTGACTTGTTTTTACTGTGCTGCATTTAACAGATTGCCATCTCGCTCAAGGGCAAAGCGGCAGATGTTATAAGTTGTAATATTGTGTTATTATTGCAGCAAAGACGGGTCTGCTACAGCTGCAGCTGGAAGAAGGACACTTGTGAAGGCCAGATGGTTCCTCGAAGGTCACCTAACATCTCATCTTTGCCCCGCTGCCCTTCTTTGCTATTGTGTGAACGTTTTTTTGTCGGAGGCTTACTTCATGCATCGGGAATAAAGCTGGCATCGTGCCACTGGTACTCTGACCACACAGGACGGGAAGGCGAGGAGCAGAGTGTGGCTCATCCGGTCTAGAGTCAGGGACAACAGCTGCCTGGCCTGCAGAGAGTCCTCAGCACACCTGCAACGAGCACACACACAGATGCAAATACACATAAAAAAAATATTTTTTAGAATTACACAATTTCAATTACCAGACCGAGGCAGCACATTAAACCTATGACCCCACTCTTAGCTTTACAGCTGGAAAAAAACTCCCTAATGACCAAATATGAAACACAGCCAAACATAAACAGCTTTATAAATAAAAGCCATAATAAAAAAGTAATTGATTAGAGAGACCATGCGTGTAGATGTTACAGTATCAACCCAAAAATCCACGGCGCTGATTATAGAAGTTCGAGGGGTCGGCTGGCCATCAAATCCAGCACCAGGAGCTGAATCTCATCTAATTGGCACTTAGAGCTGCGATAGCTGGCACCAACCTGCCTTCACGCAGCTGATTTATACCTTTTTATGCACATGTGCACTCATGCATGAGTTGTATCTGGATGGTTTATGGTAATAGCATTGCAGCGGGCCCACAGTCATTAAGAAGAATCTATCATTCTGCTAAGGCCAAGCTGTGAGTCAATTCTTCACAGCCAATATCACAAAAAGGGAGGGGGGGGGGTGAAGGTGAAGAAAAGCTCACGTAGCTAACAAATGTAGGAATAAGGCAAAAAAAAAGAGTCTGGTAAAGAGAAAATGAAAGACATTCGGTGATTTTAGGTGATTGCTTGGTTCACTGTGGAAGCCGACCTATCACAGGTCAGTGTTTTTTTTTTCTGTGATGACTTCTTAAGTGAGAACTATGTTAGCTGCCCTGTTTCTGTGTGACCTGTTTTGTCTGTGGATATAAGGTGAGTCTGCGGTCTGCAGAAAAAAATGATGTGATAGTGCTCCATCTCCTGATTAGCTGGATCCCTGCTGTGAAAGCCCGGAAAGCTCACCTCACCGCGCGGACCAAATTACTCCAGTCCACATAAGCTTATTCACAGGACCCTCTCATTTCACTTGCCATCATCTCTGTCCCCCACTTTGTCACATCTGACAGAAATTGGTGTTTGGGGGCAGATGGAAAAAGAAAAGAGAGTGGTAGATACATGAATAACAAGTGAAACCGTGTGAGGAGATGGGATTGTGTTGCCAGTCTGTTGGTTGAAGGAATAATACTTTGTTTCCACAGGGGAAAAAAATGGCATATATCAGTGAGCACAATTAGCTAAAACAGAAAGCTCGTGTTTAGAAACATGTACTTTGTTTTTTTAATGACTCTAATTAGCCTCGGTAAAAGATAATCACCAGCCAAAGCTGCGTGCATCTGTGAGGCAACCCCCCCTTCCAGCCCGGAGTCATCCACCATCTCAACAAAGAACAAAAAGAAGACTGAAAGGCTATTGTACCCTGTGTTCATTACGTAATGATGGGCATTCAGAGGAGCCTCAAAGCTGCGCGCCTAGTGCAAAATGCTAATTAGAACGGATCAAGAAGCCCAATCTACTCCGATCTTCTGCCAAGATCCAGATATTAAACGTGATTCAGCTGCAGTCTGAAGATAAGGGGTCAATTTTCCTGACAATCTGGAACTTTGGTCAAGATTAAAGATAGTGTGATTTTATCATCGTTTCATTACTCATGTTTTCTCACTAATGCTGCTCTTCTCAGGCTCGTTAGAACATGTTGAGATTTCTCGATAATGAACATTAACCGCTTTTCTTTTCTGTTTGCATAATTCCTATTCTTTGCAGGCCGTTTCATCTCCTCACATCTGCCACAATTACGTACATCGCACAACGAGTAGGTGAGCTTTTCTGTATGATGCGACGTGTTTCCGAGACAAGTGCTTTTGTCTCCCCTTGCAGCGCCTCGTTTAGTAAGAGCCACATCACCTCCCCGGCTCCCCGTGCTGCGTATACATCAAAGCTAGATGTCACTTAACCCCTTCCTTCCCTCGACCTGCGTCATCTATTTGCGAGCTGTTCCACGCCAAGCTCTCTCACTACCAGGTTTGTGCCTTAAAGGAATAATAAAGAATTTCTTCACTTTCGTGTCTATATAACAAATACCAAGCCTGCCTGCGGGTAGTTAGTCACATAAGGAAAACAGCAACTTTAAAGCTTCCTGATTAACATGTCACGTACTATGCATCACGCACGGATGCGATATCAACTGTCTTCACACATGCACTGAAGCCTTGAACTTTACCATGCATCACTCAGTGGAAGTGCATGAAAGAGTCCGATGTAGTCCATGTGATGTCTATTTGCACTTATTTGCACTCGTGTGGGAAAAGCAAAGACGCCGCCTGAACCAAATGGAGTATTTCCAGTGAGGACATGTCTGAAGTGTGCTCCATGTGGAAAAGGACAGCTTCAGGCGTTGTCCTCACCTAAATCCCCCGACGCCCGACGAGTTCATGTGTGAAAACGGCTCATTTTTAATGACAGAAACCTGCCAGCAGTCTCCATCACACATTATTCACATCTACATCCAAAAACACGTGTGTAATTCTTAATCAGATCATGCTTTGTTGTACTCGCTTACTTATCGGGGTTGAAGCCCTCCAGTTCTTCCAGGAAGATGTTGCTATTGGTAACGGTATTGTCCTGGTTGGGCATGATGAGAAACTTGAGGATGGTCCCTCTGCTTGAGCCGAGGAAGAGCACGGTGCGGTTTCTGTAGGGCCCGGCCTCGGTATCCACCACAATCTTATTCAGCTGGTACCTGAACCGCAGGGGAAACAGAGCGCTGCGTTAATGCCACGGCGCTGTGCAGCTCATTTGGGACTCACTTCCACAAAGTAGCTTCTGGAGGTGAGTTTATGATTTAAGTGCATTACAAATTATTGGTTTAGATGTAAAATACGGCCTGGTGTGAATTTAAATCGTGATATGCCATTTTCACTCGAGTCACTGGAAAATGATATGAATTCCTTAGAGAAGAAACCGCTCATCAAATTTGCATAATAAACTAATTACGCCAGACGTTTCCGACATTAATAATATTACTCAAGTAAATGGGTTTGTCCTAGGACAATAGCAGAGTGCTGCTGATCCACACAGAGTTCTGTGTGTGTGAGTAAGTAGATGAGAATAGAAGCCATGTTGTGCCGGGTGTTTAATATTCCTCGTGCACCCGGTCCCCATAATCCCCTGGTGGCTGTGGGACTCCGTACGGTAGACAGTGGGAGGCGGGGGGCAGGCACCAGTATTTATGTGGGACTTGATGGGCCACAGCTGCTTGCCTGCTACCACAGGCTTCAACAACCAACTTATGTTGGTTGCTGTTCAGCAAAGGGAGGAGTTCATGTAAATATACAGGGTTACAGGCCGTTTCAGATCTCATACACACCGCATCTCCTCTAATTAACTGTTGCGACTTGAACTGTTAAAGCGTAATTAATGTGCACCCCCAGTTTCATTCATTTTCAACTTTGGTTACAAAACAAACAATTGTGAGCATGACAGATTTAATTTGTTTTAGCTGTTACAGCTGAACACGGGAAAAATGAAATATGTCCATATATATTCTATATGTATGGACATATTTCCAACTGGACAGATATAATAAATCAAATGTCTCACCATTATGTTGCAAAGAGATATTCAAGCAGTTTGAGTGAATAATATAGTAGTAATGCTCGGACCGTCTCACCTGACCATGGTTCTCACTATCCAGGGTCGTTGTCCCAGTGATGGGACTGCTTCATCCATCAGAGGATGGGTCTTCACAAAATTTAACATCTCATCGGGGAAGGAGTTGGAGGAATTAAACTTGGATCCTTGAACGGCACAACCACCGGGTCTGGGGAAAATAAGATTAAGCACAAAGATAGTATTATATAATTAAGCAGTCTAAACAGTCTGAGTGTCTCACACTCAGACAGATATCCTTTTTTTTTTTCAAACCATACTGATCTGATTCAGTTAAAAGGACCTGACATATAAAGTAGAAATAAAGTGACAGATATGCACGAGCACAAGACGTAGATTGGAGGGCAACAAGCTTTATCCTTGTGATAAGGGATTTTTCTGCTTCAGTGTGTATCATCAGACTTTTGTCTTTCCTACTTATTTAATCATATAAAAAGCACAACCGTAGCTTTAGTTCACAGGACACATCAGCTGAGGGTTCAGCTGGGACCCTTCCATCTGTTTGGTTGATTCAATTCAATTTAATTTAATTTATATAGCACAAAATCACAACAATAGTCTCCTCGATGCATTTTTTAGTATAAAGTAGACATCCTACATTAAAACTGGGAAATCTTATAAAGGCTGCACAATTTACACCGCCCCCTCCCGCCTCCAGTTCTCTGCAAGCCACTTTGAGACCCAGACATTGAAATCCCAGCTATTCCCCCTTTAATGCTAAGCCTGCTCTGGTCTATGCTTGGGGTTTTTGCTGTCTCCCCATTATAGGCTTTCAGTGTGTGCGAGAGGAAGAAGCTCAGCAGAAAACCACACTGCCATATATATAATTCGCTGCAGATGGAATAACAATCCTCCATTTTTCCCCAAAGTGTTCCTGACTGAAAGACCCAGGAGTAAAATTCACTCATGTTACTTTGCATTGTCTATATGCCCTTTGGGGATGAAACCCTACCCACGAACGACAACCTGCAAAACACATTTTCCAAAGAGTCTTACGGCCAACTCTGACTTCAAAACAAAACTTTACAACGCAGCTTTATTCCCCTGATCATTCTTTGATAACAACTCGAACACAGGTGCACAAATTGATTACCGCCATCTGCACCTTGGTTTTGGGATGACTTCATCTGGAACAGGCGTCCAAATAGACTCTGGTGATTTCTGCTCCTTAAACCTTCCATCAAACACAGCAGCCAGCTGCTCCATGTCAAAGGCGCACACCGCCGAACCTGGAATGCTACAGAGACAGAGACGGGCGACTGATAAAAACACTTTGAACTGACACAGAATGGCTCAGTGTCAGCAGGCTGTACGTTCCAACGAGGCTGCGGAAAGAAGAAGTGACGGAAAAGAGAAGATGAGGTAGATTATAGCTCGGCTGAAAAATAGACTGTGAAACTTGAAATAGGAAAAGAGTTAAAATATAGAAAGTCAATTGTGACAAGAGAAAGAGACAGACACCCGGCAAAGATGACAAATTGGATATGGGCTGTTCATATTTTGACATCCATTACTGGAACACAAAGGAAATCGGTAGTGAGACGAAGAGAGAAGCAGGGTAAGACAGATGCTGTCAACTCTGTGTCCAAAGAATAGATACGCGATGGATGCAACAGCTAGATTAGGCCCGTGAAAAGATCTTGGCTGGAATTCCTGAAATATAAACCAAACAGGAAGTGAGTCACTGAATATTTTCTCTTCACAAAGGGGGCAGAAGATTCCCGTAAAGGAAACGAACCCAACAAGATGTTACAGTAAAACGCCTGGTGCACCTCGGAGGTTGTTCAACTACTCGCGGACCCAGCAAAAGGGCGCAGAGCATCTGTTCTGAGAAGCGTTTGTGTCCCACACTCGACACGAGCAAACACACACTGACAAAACCAACAAATACAGACACATTCACACAAAGTCAGACTCACTTCTGAGGCCAGGTTTCTGTGCTTCGACTACGGAACAAAGGAGTAAAGAGAGCGGTGTCGGGGTGAGATAAGAAATGAGTTTTTGAACATGCTTCCTCCTTCCACACTGAAGTCTCTGTGTCCTCATCAATGACTAATGGAGTGCGTGGTGTGAGAACAGTGACTCAGTATTAATACCTTAGAGATACACACACACATTATAAAAACCTGAGACTGAGTCACCTGGAACCTGCTGCTACATAAAACCCACAGAGTCCCCGTCTGTTTATTTCCTCTTCTCACGCTTCCTTCAAAAGTAAATGTCCAGCTGGTGAATGTGAGGGTCTCTGAAGCTTGCCCCCAGGACGCTGCATCAAGCTGAGAGGCGTTTCTGTTGATTGCCCCTTGAAAGCCGCGGCGTTTGTTTGGAAAGGCAGCGCCTGAAGGCTGGATTTTGGTTGCGGTAGGGAGCCGCGCTCTCCCGATGTGCCGTTTGATCGGGTCACGCCGTCACCCTGGGTACTTATCGTTCGTAGGCAGGAATGTGACTCGACCCCGGGCGGCACGGCGGAGCTGCGGGCGTATCTGTGGACGATACGGCGTCTCTCTCGGGGCTGCAGGCACCAGATGTTATGTTTGACACATCTGCCAGCTTTGCATCACCGCCAGCTTGGCTTCCTTTCTCTACCTTCGCCCGCCCCTCCAGCCCCCGGCTCTATTTTTCTCTCTCGCTGCAGGTCACTGGGCTTGGCCCGTGTAGGGCTCGGTGTCTGACAGAAGCAAGCCAAAAAGCCTCGGGCTGTTTATCTCACAGAACTCTCCTAATTATTCTCACTCTTATTTTTATTCTCTTTGTCTCTCCCACTATTTTTTAAGTCAGTGTGTGTGTTTTCTCACACACAAAATTCATTTCCAATAATTTTCCTAGTTACTCCCTCATACTCGAGACTGCTTTCCCTTTGTTTACATCTCCATCATTCCTTCAGCCTGCTGAAATTTGCCTTCTTTGCTGGTGTTGAGTGGCAGACTGTCAAGGCTTACAAAGACTCGTGTGATGTTTGTCTGAGAGGACTTCTGTGGAGTCTGAAGGGCTTCCTCGCTGTTTAACAAACTCACTGACAGCCTGAAATATTTTCACACCGTCCAAACGGATGCGTGACACCAGGATTTTACAGGACGGAAGGAAAATCTTTTAATTGGTGGTTTAACTCTTACAGAGACTTTGGATATATGTATTTATAGATTTTACATCAGGGTTATAAAATTTCTGTTCTGGTATAAATATAGAAAGATGATTTTGTTCAAAAAAAGGTCGAGAAATAAAATTTGTAACCTGTAGCATTTCTACAGACAGGCTTAAAGCTTTTTTCTGAGGTTTCTGATGAAACTGTGGGCTGTCACTGGGCAAGAGGCTCCCGTAAAGTATGTTGTAAAATGTTATAAAAAAAAGGTTTACTGGAACCTTTTCCACTTCTACCATTTGGATCATTTGTGCCTTTTTGTTATGTGACCTATAACGTTTCTATTTTCCATTTTTTATATTTTCCAGCATTCTGTTTATATTTTGCCTTTCAATCTTAGCTTATGTTCGAGTCGCTGTGTATCTTGGTTACTGCAGTATTTCGTTTTATGCGTTTTTGTTCCCATTCGGCCTCGTTTCTGCATTGGTCTCGTTGTCTTTCTTTGTTCGGTTGTGTCTCTCTTCCTGTTTTATTCTCTTCAGCTCGAGTTGTTTTTTTCATTACTGTTAGCTGTTCCTACCTGTATCCTCTCCTCTCATTATGCCAAGAGTATTTAGTGTCCCCCTGTCCTTCATTGTGTCCTTCATTGTGTCCTTCGTCGTGTCCTTTGTCGTGTCCTGCCTCTGGGGAGTGTGTTTCCCTGCTCCATGTCTCCCTGAGATTCCTAGTTTGGGGATTGTTTATTCCAGTTCAGCCACAGTTTATATTTTTGTGTTTCTGAATTAGTTGAGCATTAAAGCTCCCCTTTACTTAACGTTTGTCTCACGAGTCCTTAATTTGTGTCCACATCCTGCCCGCCACGCTGCTGAACTTTGACAATTATGTTTTCCATACTTTCTCTTGATCTTTCCCTTCGACGTCCGTGTGGATTTTTCGTTTTCTCTCTAACTTAACCTCCGTGGCCTATTTTGACAAACAAACCTCGCTCTTAAACTCTCACTGTTTGGGGTGCCGTGGTCGTTCCACATGCTACCTGTTCCTATCCACTGCCCATTTCTCAAGAAACAGCTAGCTGCCTCATTATGTATTCTGGTGCCTTCTCTGCTTGCAGACCCAGGGGGTCTAGCTTGCACAGCTGTGCATCCTGGCATCGTAAACCTGTTCTCCTCCTGCTCCTTGTCCTCCTCATTTCCCCTCCTCTGCTGTGTTTTCCCACAGGGGCATCCTGCTGTCCGACCCCTGGGATTCTTAACAACCAAACCCAAACATGGCCTCCTGCTCTCAGGATGCAGCAGATTTACTCTGTTTTCCATAAAATATTTTTCTTCCATTCCTGGGCGGTTATAACAAAACTAATGAGCTGTCAGTCTGTTCCAGGAGAAATAGACGTTTTTAGCTGGCAAAACAACGACAAATAAAAATAATGAGAATGGTTTGTTTTCATTACCAGCCCCAGGTAACCCTTCAGTTTGACATCGCGCTGCTCTTTTTTAAAGATACATCATTTATTATATAAACTAGGAAACACAGCTACCAGAAAGCTCCTACACTTTCTCATAAGTTTGATGTTTCCATGACCTTTTGAGCATCAGGTGTGCAGGAGGGTGGTCGGTAGGAAGTCTGGACTCCTCTTTCATTCCCATTGGGAGAGAAATGACCCTGGGCTCCGGCGCTGGATCGACAAAGGAACTGGCAACCTGGGGTGATGTTATGTTCTGGAAACGAAGATGAAATGATCCCACAATGATCCAAAACAGTGGAGCAGCTGTAAAATGACTCCAGGGGTACGTGGCTCACAGGTGGAGATGAGTAACTCCCGAGCGTCCAGGGGAGACAGTAAAACCCTGACTTCATTCCCATGCTACAGTCCAACACTGCACAGGCCAAATAGCAGGAGAGAATGGCTCTTTCCTCCACTCCCGGGTCCCTCTTCGTGCTGTTTTCACTGCAAGCTGCCAGCCAAAGCAATTTGTCTGGCAAGCACTTGGCCAGTGTGGCGCAGTGGGCCACACCGGGGCCAGTGGGAGGTTTTTTTAGATCACATCACACATTCTCTGTATCTCTTTGTGTTTACTTTCCTCTTTATCTGTCCATCTGAACCTCCTTTTCTCTCTGGCTCGGCTGCGGGTTATTTAAAACAGGGCCCAGCGGCAGGTTGCGCAGGCAGGTGTGGGCGTGTGTGTATTTAGCCGGCGCGCCTCTTCGGTAAACTGTAAATGCTGTTATCTGGGAACCGCTGTGAATGTTTCCGAGTGTGCGAGTTTGTGTGTGCATAAAGCATCCATCTGTCTCTGCAGGCAGTGGCCCCCACTCGCAGCGGTGCCCTTCCAAACACGCAGATAAGATGCAGCTGATGAAACAATTTTAGATGTCAGAGAACGCACGTGTTGTCCGTTATTGACTTCCTCGTCCTTGAGTTTCTCATCCGTCTCTTCTCCTCTTTATCTTTTTTCTCCCTTTTAAATGTACTTGTCTCCTCTGTGCTTGTCCCACCGTGCACCTCCCGCGCCCGCTGCGACAGAGCTCCATTATATTCTAAAAAATAAAGATATATAATGGGACCACTGATTGATGGCAGATAGGCTGCTGGTGGCATTACAGTGAGAGGTTTGGATTGCTATCGCACCAAAAAGAAGGCGGTTGCGAGCATTTCCAAGTGTGTGCTTTAAAGTGCTCGCTCTAGCAGACACAGCAAATGCCATTGAGGTAGTGTAACATGAGTGGGCCATCACAGAGAAACTATACTGAATCCCGCTCTATAATATGAGCCACTTAGACTGCAATATAGTCATAGACTTTCATCCTTCTGCTGCTCGGAGGACGCAAACATTCAGAGCAATTTAGCCTCAGACTTAGTTCTAAGATGATGCCTTACAATGCCGAGAAAAACAGCATCAAAGTGCTCGGTGAAAGCATCTTCAAACGCAGCATGATAAGCAGATTACTGTAACTGTATGAGGAAAGAGACATGGGATTAAAAAAACACTGCCAAGGCTCATCGTTTGAGTCAGCTGTGACTTACATTTTCTTTTCTCACTTTTTCTGGGTTACAGTTTGTGTTGTCTTTGGCTCTGCTAATGCCCTCAGCCTGCAGTAATCCCCCACTTACCGGGTAACATCTCTCCTCCTCCCTCCTCCTCTCAGCGTTCTTCAGTTTAATCGTGTCTTTCAACAAATCACCCTTTTGTCCTCCATGAAAGCATTCCATGTGTCTTAGATTACTCTGTACAATCCTGACCTCTGCACCCCAACACAGGCACGTTCGTTTTTCTGGAGCTTGTAGGAAACCTTGCTCTTTGTCTCAGAGTCGGCGAAGATACAAACTATGGTGGTCCACAAAAGAGGCGACTACACACATGTGCATTTCTTTAAAAACACCAACCATGACAGAGACAGAGGAAACCCCCCCCCCCAGGCCTCATTCACACATTTATTAAACAAAAAAATCTATAAAAAAATAAACAACCTGCAAAAAAATGCACTTAAAGGCAGAAAGGTTTACAGAAGTCAGTCCCTTTGGGGTTCTGCTGCGCGTATGATGTAATATAAGCAGTGATTTCACGAAAACAACTCAATGTTGAGTTATATATCACACCTGAACATCCCATACTGAGTTCATACAAAGGCAAAGAAAGAGCAGTGTCATAAAAATGTGAAATGGACAAAGGAGTCTGGGACACAACCGCACTCTGTATATCAAAGATCGTGTGGATTCTTTGAGAGAATGGAGGTCTGCGCTGGTCGAATGTACATGCCGCGCTCTTCACATATGAAGGAAAGGCCACGATTCAGGGGTCTTAAGTCTCCCTGTGTGTGAGAGAGTCTCCTGTTTGTGCAAGTACCTGTTGGCTGGTGTGGAGAACACCCCCAGGACGATGTCCCTGCCGTGCATCCTGATGATGGGGCTGGTGGAGTGGAGCAGGTTAAAGTAGAAGTGGGAATCGCCGGGCACGGAGCAGTTCAGACGGGCCTTTAAGAACGACGTCCACTGCTTCTCCAGGACGCGCTGAGACCCGCCTTGATCCCGCTTGCATACCCGGGCAACGCGTGACACCACCACCTGTGAGGAGCCGCGAGCAGAGAATATGATACTTACTATACAGAACGAGCACAGCTTGCTTATATCTCCGATGACTCCAAAGCTGGGCAGTTAATATTTCCTGAGGTTTCATCTTGAAAACTGCATATTAAAAAGCTCTTTTTAACTCCAGGGCGATCTCTGAAGAGTCATTTGCATGCTATTTGCAATGTGGAAACCCTTTTTTGACAGATCATTGTTTTATAATGCTAAATCTAATATCAATTATTCATGAAAATGTCAGTGCATCTCAAAATTGCTTCTTTGAACACACAATAGCGATGCTGCTTAAGTATCAATTTACTCTGCTCTCTGTAAACATGTCGCAGCCAGGGACCTTTTGCAAACACTCCCCAAAAGTGAACTGCTAATTTATTAAAGAAACAGGTTTATATTTATTTATTTTTAGTTTTAATAAAGATGCAGCTACTGCTCTGGGGGCAAGAAATATATCAAGTCAGTAGAAAATCGACCAGTTTTTCTTAGGTTAATAAAGACAGCTGGTAATAACATGACTTGTTGCATTAGATATGCACGTAAACAAATACAAAGGTGAAAGGTCATCGCAGTTTTTAACAGAGAGATACTAGACCTGCAGCTCTCTTCATGCTTGCATTCTAATGATAAATTCCCACATTTCTCTCCAGTTCTTTTTAAAAGATGCTGTGAATGGACCTCAAGGTAATGTGAGAGTGCTCAGCAGGGGAGGAGAATATATTTCCTTCGCAATGACTTCTTTACCTTCTCCAGGTAATTGAACTCCATGGCTATCTCTCTGAAGAAGAAGTAGATGTGAGGTCCCCACTCCACGGCACTGACAAAATACGGCTCTGTGTCGTAAGAGAAAGAAACACTCAGAGAAGCAAACAAGAAAGGCGACGTGTGCAGGAGTGGTGCACGGAGAGAACAGGTTTCATGAAGTACAGGCGAGAACGAGTATAACAAAACAGCATTTCCATTTGCAAATGCATCATTAATTCCCACAGCAACCGAGCGACATGGGGGCAGTGAGAAAGAGGCAACAGCCATGCTTAATTTCATTACATGGTGAAAGGGGATTTCACAGCAAACAATAAGCACATTATGACTCCCTCGTGCTTCCGAGGAACGAGGCAGGCGTGCCTGGGACCTTCTAAAACCTGTGTGAGCATTAAGACCAGGGGCTCGGGCAATGTGATTGGCAGGTCCACTCAGTCTGGTGACAGTGTCCACCAATCACGCTCTGTATTTTTACTTTGTAGCATAAACACCGCAAGAAGGTTTCTAATAGCACTGGAAATGCAAAGTGTCTTACTCTCGAATATTCGAACTGTAAAATAACTGAAGGATCTTGCGTTTCAACGAATAACAAAAGCCGTAGTCTGTGAAAAAAGCTTTCATGCACTGTGATTGGCCCGCTTGTTTCCAGCAGTCAAAGTCACCAACAAGTGCACGCAGTGTTTTTCAGTCAAACGCGTCACGTCAAAGGAAGCAGACGATGCTGCACACGGCGTTGAAGGGGCATGACGGGCTCAACGGTGGAAGCATTTTACCTGCATGCTCGAATAAACATACACATGTGCCAAATGTAGCGTGTATCTAGGAGCATGGCTGTGAATAATGAATACACAACGAGCTTGTTGCGAACACAGCTACCGTGCCAGCGACGCTGTCATCACAGGTATAATTTATGGTGGATCTGCGGCTTTTTTGATTGACATGTGCATCATGTATTAGATTCATGAGGCACTTTAAATGGTTAAAAACGGAGTATTTTTACAGGTTTAGATTAGGTCTACTAACAGATTCTGCTGTACTATCACAGCAGCATATAAAGTTATTAAAATTAGCTTCCTTTCCCCCTGAGCCAACAAAAATATACAAGGATAAAGTAAAACTTTGAGATCCTGTTGCAGGCCCGGGGGGACAAACGTTTGGTCGGACACTGTGTAATATGGGTGATTCTGTGAAAGAGGCAGCTCTGTGTACAGCTAGCTGCCTGCATGCTGACTCAGACCTGTCCTACCAGCATATGCATCGATCCACGTGCTGCTAAGTAATGTGGACACAAACTCCAGAACATCAGACTCACATTAACATCAACAGCAGGCGTGATGCTGAGCGCGCTGCGCCGACATAACTATGCTTGACGGCACACAAACGAACACGCCCACTCAAAGCGTCCACACACACACACACGCACACGTGTCTGCAGATACCTCTGAACCACTTGGAGTCGTGCTTCACGGTGCGCAGAGCAGGACTGTCCCCGAGGCTACGGTAGATCACCGCGTCGATGGCCAGAAAGTCCGTCACTGTGGCCGTAAACAGATTCCCCTCTGATACACACACACACACACACATAAAAACAGCTGGTGAGTTGGATCGTCTGCCAAAGCACCATCGTAAACAGTGAAGCTGGAGTTAATGTGACCTTTTATGCGCTGCATTATAAACACGATTGTGACAAACCACTCAACAATGTAATTGCAACTTTTCTACACGCCCACACAAAAATAACATTCGTTTTTTTTACTACCAGCTAATATCAGATAAGGATCTGAACAGTTTCAGACACACTATTGATTATTAATGAACGAGTTCAAACACAACGGGGTAAACTGAAGCTGAGGAAACGCTGCGGCTCTCTTTTGTTCTGCTCAAGGGACAAAAATATCTTTTGATGACATCGCGCACTTCCTCATTGTGTGACAGCACACGCTAAACAAACCGTGTCGTACCTGCGACCAGAGCTACGTTGGCGTGTTTGGGATCATAGGGACACCGGGCCATCCCACTGACTGTGTCTCCCAGCATCTCCAGAGTGTCTCCCTGTTAAATCACACACACACAAACACAATTAGATGCATGCATCAATCTGGGTACTCCAAACAATATGAATACATCTACAGCAGCATCATGAAAACAAACCACAAGAGAATGGCAATTAGGGAGTGTTACCATAAGTGCAAACTAATGATTCACTGGAGGCAATTAGGCACAGCAGCAAACAACAAGAGAGTCCCATTTTCATCCATAAATAACACACACACACAGACGCATACACATCTATGCATCCACGTCCACACGTGTACATTTCAATAAAATTGGCAGCTCATGTAATAAAATCTCTGTTATTCTTTCACTATCAATTACACAAACACAAACCGTTTAAAGGTCGCCGCAAGCAACTATTTGAGGAGAGCAGCAGATTTGGAAGACTTCAGCTCTCATCGGCTGTTTGAAATGAAATAATTTATAGGTGTCATTTCATTAAAACCCTGCTTTAAATAAAACAGTAGCTAGCATCACTAACTAGTCCCCAGAGAAAATGACAGCCTATCAGGCAGAGACAGGTGAGGTATACGCTGTTGTAGAATGTCATTAGCGGCTGACAGATAATGGGGCAAGTACGTCTCAGTGTTCCACTGTTGCACCGTGTTTGAAATGTGAGAGACTGAAAATAACACTTATCTGAGAAAGCCTTTGATAGTGAAAGGATTTTTTTCCTCTCTCTCTTTCTCCCTCCGACTGCACTGACTTCGTTCCTCGTTTAATATCGCTGCGGAATGATGTGAAATCACCCCAGTCGATGATTAATATTTATGTGCAGGTTTTTTTTTTCTTCTTCTGCAAGTTTAAAACGGTTACTGTAATTGAGCGCGACAGGGATAGGCTAAGAAGTGGAGCGCGCTCCCTGCACGGTGGAGGATTCTGGTGACTTGCTGCTTGATGGATGCAAACCTTCAGAATCTGACAAATGTGCTGTGGGACAGTGCTGGAGAAATATTCAGAACACATTTTGGCTAGTCAACGCTTACAGTTCTAGCTCGAACTCTGGCATCTTTTAGATTCCGCCTCCATCTGTGGCATTGCTTTTCTCTCTTTACCGCAACAAGTCACGTCTCAGCAGCCTTACTCTGTGAATACGCTCCTCTCCCTCTTTTCCCCTCTTTGTGTTCTTCTTGATTTTCTGTCTCTGACTCTCAATGATAACAAGCTCGGCAGACCACAAAGTTTAACCGCCGAGAAATAACAACTGTTGTATCTCAGGAAAACGAGGCGCTGGAGCTGCCAGACAACAAGGATAAATAACTCCTGGGGAGGCAGTCGGCACTGACTCAACTGCTTGACAAACAGCTCTAATGAAGCTGTGCGTTCTCACCTGAACAAGTGCACTAATTGATCTATAGGAGGGAGACTCTGTTGTAAAAATAGACATTATTTATCAGCTAAGAGGCGCTCGACCGCTCGCAGGTGGCGGCGTAGGGCAGCTGCGATCACCCGCCTTGGGTTTACTTACAGTGTAGTTGGCACACAGCGGGTTGAAGGCGTTGGTTCCACACAAAAACAAGCCTCCGTTTCTGCTGAGCAGCACTTTGATGAAGTTACGGCATTCATCCTGCACGAGAGAAAGACAGAAATACAGAGAATAGGCTTAATATGCAGGAAGGGTGAGTCTGAGGAACAGATGATGGCGCAAATAGAAAAAAACCCTTTATTTTTCAGACGCTGATTAGCCAAACCGCTCTGTGAAATGAAGCTTTTCAGCTGCCTGATGTGTGGAATTATCACACCATTACTGCTGTCAATCACAGTGATACAGTCTGAACGTAGCCTGCAGAGACTTTAGGCGTCTACCCCCTTCACACATGCATGCACACGTGCACGCATACACACAGCAGTTGATTGACGGAGGGTAATCCAAAGCAGCCTTAGGATTTTAGAACAAGCGGCAGATTTAAGGCTAATTTCTCAATACGTGAAGCGCGTGTAATGAATAAATAACAGCAAGTCGCATTTTCATTCTTTGAACAGTCGTGAGTTCAGCACCACCATGATGGCGGTTTTTGCCCCACAGTCCCAAATACAGATAAATGTTGGTGTCTCCACACATATACTGTGTTGTTACTGTTAGCTTTTTTATTCATTTATACTGTGCTACTAAAAATGTTTCTTCAGTTATTGTTAAAGCACGTTATCGATCATCTTTAGCTCATTAGAAGGCATCATTTATTAATTAATTTATTAATATTTTTAGTTTTCAATTTGACCTCATGTACCAGTAAAGTGCATCTATTTGTTTCAGCCATGTCTGTCATGTTAAACATACTGTATATCTATATATCATACCTTATATCACAACAGCTTATTGATTACTTTAAGCGTTCTCGTTTATTCATTTCTGATCGATAACTATTTTAATCACAGATCTGTAACCGTACAGGTTAGCTTATGTGTTAGCTACTGTGCAGACTTCACTCTCTTTCCTGCAGCATTTAGGTGAACAAGCAGCTTTATTTATTTTTTTTAACTTCCTTTTAATTTAATTACTGGAAACGCTTTTCTAATCTTTCTGCTCACCTACTCACTAATTCCCAACTACTTTATTAATTTCCATATTCTGCTGCTTTCAGCTTCATATTTTGAATGCAATCATTGCACTTCACCCTCCGTACTATTTACTTATTATTTTAGAGATTAATTCCATTATTATAGATCAAGCTACTGAGCAATATATTGGTTATCAAACTCAGTAGCTGCAAAATTAAAGAGATATAAATCAATAATTAGAATCTAATATATAAAATCATACATATGATTTTGAAAAGTGTCATTGCACATAATGAGCACATTTAGTTGAGGTAATTTAGCTATATTTGATTATACCACCCACGCACTATTATGCTACTTAACTAAGATTATTCATTTATAGGAAAGGATTTTGTTGAAACTCTTTTCACGGCACACAAAACAAATCTGTAAGACGACACAGGGCAGCGCATGAGCCTGAAAGTATGATTTTATGTTCTGATTTCCTGAAGGAATTTTTCCATCCATGGTTGCTAAGCACAAATTTCAGATGTGACCTTTAACTGTAAAAGTCAAAAGGCACTGACAGCAATTTGCACTTGCACAGCCGCCCGAGTACGCAGAGTGAGTGGTCATGTACAGTAGATCACTGATACAGCCAGCAACCCCCAACCCACACCACAGCACACCACTGTCCCAGCCACGATGGCACCAGCTCTGCCACACACACACACACGCACAGACACACCAGATGGGGTCTACTTCAAGACCACCGCCCACATTAATGTTGATGGAAAGAGGAGCAGAAATGAAATAAAAGTGGTGTGTGTGTGTATGTGTGTATTCATATCTTTGTGGGGACCAAAAATGGTAAGTTTACTATACTTGTGGGGACCAACAATCCTTATGGGGACCAAAATCCTAGTCCCCACGAGTTTGAAGGCATTTTTGAGGCTGAAAATGTGGTTTTAGTGTCAGGGTTCCAGGTGGTTTATGGTTAGGTAGGTTTAGGCTAAGGGTTAGGGTTAGGCATTCATTTTTGATGGTTAGGGTTAAGGTAAGGGGCTAGGGAAAGCATAATGTCAATTAGATGTCCCCACAAGATATGAATACCCAACATATGCGTGTGAAAGAGATCAGAGGGAAAGCAGTGATATGCGAGACAGCTGAGTGTTATTCCAGATGCTCCACCCTCTCCCCCACCTTTCCCCTTCTCTCCCCGCGGGGATCTCGTCTTTCAGCGGGAAGAAAGAAACAGGAAAGCAGGAAGTGTTTCCACGTGAACGGTGTGAGCGCATGAAGTGAGTCGAGCGCAAGGTGCAAATTTCTAATGGTTGCGCCGCTATGTGACAAACAGAAGTGCGACTGTCACAGTACTTGCGGGCGTGTGCGTGTCACTCCCACACACGCAGAGTGTTGCGTGATGCATATAGTTAAGTACACATGTAACGAGTACGTTTGTGTGTGCGTGCATCAGAATCACAGCACAGATGCAGGCTCGTGTGTGAGAATCGTTTGCATGCTGTTTGTCGGTGGGGCTGCAATCTGTCAGCTTGGTCAGAGCTGTAATCACAAAGCCAGATGAAGCACTCTTAATAACAACCCAAACCCACTGCCAGCATCTCGGAGATGGGAGCGAATACTCAGAAGAGCCAAACCGCTGCACAAATGTGTTCACTTGGCAGTGGCTGTTCAGCTAACATTAAGGATTTCATGACTTTAGAATAAAACAAGGTTTATAACCTTTTTAACTATTCAGTTCTGCACTTTACAGACATCATCCAAACTCATCCTGTGCTGCACACATGCATTTTATTAATCCCCATTCATCTATTCCAGGGAGTCATTTGGCACTCCAGATACGAGCCTTTTTTTATTCAAAGCCCAATTCAGGCAGCAGCAGGATTAAGGTTTTACTGTGGGCTCCACATTAAAATAAAAAAAACAACAAACCTATTATAAAGGATCATGCTGTGAATTAAACAATCATATATAAACCCCTGTGCTGTACGGTATGATGCCTCCTCCCCTTTTCTGTGCATCCCCTCTCCCTGGGTAGAATCCAGGCAAAACGCCACCTGTGCTGGCTGGCAAGCCTTCCCGAGACCCAGACGACTGCAGCCCTCCTCCTCCTCTTCCTCCTCCTTCTCCTGCTCCTCTTACTGACAGCGGCAGAGCTGCCTGTGCTCTGAAAAATTAATCTGCAGCACAGATGAGTTACACAGGAGCACACGCCTCGGTGCAAATATGGACGTAATTGTCAATGAAGGGATAAATTTACAGAGGAATGAGAAAAAAAGAGAGTGTGGAAAGCTACCAAGAGATGCTGCACAAGTGTTTGCACATGTTTGCATATGCAAATGTACATTTATATCAACTAGATGCTGGCAGACAGCAGGGTTTAATCAGTTCCTCGCTCTTGAGGCAGATGTTAGCCGGGCTAGCTGTACGCTGCAGACGATGACAGAGCAAGTGCATTTCCCACTGCACAGCTAACCTCTTCCTCAGAGACACAGAAATATGCACATCCACCAGCTTTAAAATAATTGTAAGCAATCACGCACAGAGAATCCACAGCAACACAACAACAAGCACCATTAAAACCGAGGAGGCTCCACCTTCAGCATGTGCTTTTCATCTATTGTCCAGAACTCAGCCCTCAGTCTTCGATGATAACAACCTTTTCACTCAGCATAAACCTCAGCTCAGAGTTTTTTTCCCTAACGATCACTCTTTACTCCAAACTTCAAGAACAAGGTGTTTTACCTCCAGCTACAATAAAGATTCCTATCTTTGCTCGAACCAAAATACAAAACAGGTAAGGGTCGTAAAATATTCTGCTCATTTTCCTGTTTTAGGAGCAACCACAGCAGTTTTCATAGTCCCATAAAATATAATAAGTTATCACGATGACCCGGTTTAGTAATGTTTTGTACAATGGGAGCCATCTAAGGCAGTACATCAGGGGGTCGTATTTAGCAAGCTGCTCCTCTAAATCTCCAAAGTTTCCATTACATGCCTGGCTGGTCCCCTGATGTTAGCAACCAGGGAGAAGAGAGCACTGCTCTGCCAAGAGCCGCCATTGAGCCAGAACTCACCCACACACATATACTGTATACACAATACACTCACACACACACGCACACAAAGCCTTGGCGAACCCTCTTCCCCACTCATTAACAACAGGTCTGTCATTTCCAGAAAAATCCCCGATGCACGATTCTGACTGGAAACAGAGTGACTCTTCGTGGCAGGAACAAAGTGTGTGTATATGTTTGTGTGCATGTGGGCGGAGGATAAATTAACAGCGTTACCAAATTAGCACCACTGTGCTGTTCAGAGTGCTGCGGTCTTACTCAGCATGTTAAAGCTAATCCGCATCCCTCTGAAGCCCTTCTTTAGCGTTTGATGGTAATTCTGACTGAACACACCACAGGCCACAAACAAACAGCACGCACAAGCAGGACGAAGAAGTGAGATGATAGAGATACAAGAATAAATGAGCAGAGAGCGAGCCGAAACTTGGTAAAAACCTACAGCTCGCCGGGTCGTCCGAGCACACACACACACACACACACACATTTTTCAATCTTTGACCGTAGCACTTAACCTGGATCACCTTTGCACAGCTCTCCAGCTGCAGACCTGCTGAGTAAACGATCACGTAAACCAGATTAATTCTAATTAAATGTGATTCTGTATGCTGCAAACATCATGAAAACCAAAGGCACCACGAACCCTTCTTTTCTTCATATTCACAGTCTTTGACCCTAAAAAGTCCTACGTTTGGTGATGAGCTCGAGTGCAGTCCACAGCAGCGTGTGGGGCCTGGGACGCTGAGTACAATCAAAATACACAGAAACACGAGACACTGGCCAGTTGGGAAAAAAAGATGACGATGACTCCACCTGGAGCGTTTTAAGCTGAGAAAAAGCAATAAAACCACATCTTGTGATGATTCTCCACAGAAACAGTCGGACGACTGCAAACCCAGAGCTCCTCTGAGAGCACGATTAACACAATATTGATCAAACAATCTTGCTAAGTGCTGCTTATAATGATGCCTGGCCGCTCTTTAAGCATCTACTATATAGTATTGCCTTTGTTTGCGTCTACATGCCCATGCTGCCACAGCCTGATACGCTGGCACAGAGCCACCTCTGGGGAGCGTCTCACCCCCAGCATCGTGCTCTCTCTCTCTCTCTCGTGCGATTTGCTTTTGTGAGGAGAGAAAGGAAAGAGGGAAATAAGGAGAGCGAATGGCAGCGAGAGACAATCAAAAGGGCAAATACGAGCGAGATAAAGAGACAGCGGAAAGCGCGGACAAAGGAAAATCTAATGTGGGTAGAATATGCAGTGAGTGACAACAAGGCCGACTGTTGCATTCATCGACAGCAGCTTGGTCAACACGGGAAAAGAAAAAAAGGTGAAAGGATTAGGATATTGAATTTTCAGCCTAATTAGGGAGATACTATGTCCTTTGCAATCAACCAAGCAGAAACATTTAATTACAAAACCAATTATGAGGTGGCGAATGTATCACATCTGACACAACCGTCCCCCCGAGCAGAACGGGACATTTTCAGGAGGTGAAGTGGAGGAGAGGAGGGGAACCAGTGTGGGGGAGAGGATAAGGGAGGCACGTAAAACAACAGAGTCCTGATTGTGCTTGTGGACGGGTAGGTGAGAAACAAAAGGTCCTTTCGCACCGTAACGGCGGTGAGAAGACCTCCTCGTTATGCTGCCTGTGGTTGTTCACACTGAACCAAACTAAGCCAACAATGTGTGCTGTTGGATAGCACGACAGCACTCGTGAATAAGAGGCATGACATCTAGTGTAGAAGGCCTGTCGTGCTGCCAGCAAAGGTGCAGCAACAGTCCTCCAGCACCGCGCTCTTCTATCTGCCTCTGCAGCCACAGAGACAAAGAGAATGAAATGTGAGGTGGAGGGAAGGTGCAGCAGAGAGAGACTTTAAAGTACGGCGTGTATAAATGTACAGGATTTACAGTGTTGCTGATGATCCCTCATCCATGTTTACCCAAACCTCTGCACCGTGTCCATGCATTAATGCATGAAATGGCTCTTCTTTTGTTAAATATTCAGGCATCCTCCTTGACCTCCAGCATGATAATCAAAACGGCAACAGGGGGTAAGAAACGCGCCCGCAGCGGTCTGATGCAATCAAGTGCAAAAGTGCTTCAGTAAACACTGCAGAGACCGATATAACAAGATCATATTGATACTGTGATGCACATTTTATCATCATCGTGGCATCATATGTGCATTTTAAATAACATAATTGTCTGAGCTCAAAAGCCGCCTTGCAGAATCTAAAAATCCCCAAATTTTCCAAGCAGCCCTTCAGCTCAATAAAGTCATAATGAATGAAGCAGAAAACACACAATTGCACACCAGCTGTAATTATTTACTCAAGTTTAATAGTCCAGCAGCTATAGTCTGATGACTGTGAGCCAATAATTTGGGTTTCCGCTGTGGCTGGAGGACTTCCTGGGAAAGACTTCCATTTATCCATTTATCTATTTTATCAAATGCACTCCAGAAAACGTGTTCCCACTTTGGCTCTTTACAGGGACTCCATTCTGCACGTTTACATGTAAAGATCTGTTTATTTCTCCGTATTTTGACATGCAGGTTAGGAATTGCCCACCCCTGACGTAGGATGTGGACTCTGTGAGAATAGTTTCTAAAAGAATTCATGTTCATGTGACCACTGTGCAAGTTCAGCAGTAAATATTAGTTTTATTGCAATCCAAAGGCATCGATATACTGTGGTAGGACATCAGGTTTAATGCTGTAAATGATGGGCTACAACACACCGCCGTTACTCCTGCACTATTTGCTTCCACGTTCCTCCTCCTCGACCGGCGTGGTTTCAACAGCTGAAGGACACAACGGTAAACAGCTTTTGCTACCCCAACACAACTAGACTTTCCTTTTTCTGCGTCAAAGCGACAGACACAGAGTCAAACACGGTGACACGGTGGGAATTTTGGTTGCAAAGACCATCAAATCTGTCCGATCTGAACCGCTTTCACTGTGATGCTGAAGATGTCATCATGATTCTTAGTCGTCTTCTGTCTGGGACAGCCCAAACTCACACAGTGTGTACAGGACTTCACAGTATTTAACGATGCTAATTCACATGGAGATACTTTATCAATAAATGATCTCTCAGGTGGACGCCATGCAGGTGCAGTGGTTAGCACCGTCACCTCCTTGGTTCAAATCCAGTCTGGGGCTTTTCTATCAGGAGTTTGCATGTTCTCCTGTGTCTGCAAGGCTTTTCTTCAGGTACTCCCACAGACATGCATGGAGTTAGGTAAACTGGTGATTCTAATTTGGCTGCAGGTGTTAGCCCTGGTGACCTGTACAGGATACACTCAGCCTGTCTCTCTATGACAGCTGGGATGGGCTCTGACCCCTTAAGACACTGATCTAGATAAGTGGAAGAAAATATTATGGATGAATGTTTGCATTTACTGTAAAAATACTGCTGCTATTCTCTTTATCAAGCTCTTGGTTTGCCACAAATTATTTCGTGTTTGGTTAGTGGTTTTGCTATGTCTTCATATCATTACTTAGGCAGTAAAGCAGCCTCTGCATGGTTAAAAAAATTACAGAATTTTTTTAAAATGCATTTTAAATACGAGTGATTATAATAATTGTACTTATTCTGGCAGAAAACAGAAACAGAATATGTAATATGTTCAAAAAGAAAAACCTTCAAAATGTTGCATCTTTGTTAATACTGTCAGAGGTTAATTAAAAATGTTCATTGTACTGTTTTCAGTGTAATTACTGAAACAAAAATAACTGCGTTCAAGTCATATTTTAACAGCAAATATAAGATGTACCGTCAGGGAGTGAGTGCATGATTGGATGCAATCACACAGACACACAAACGCGCGCACACACGCACGTCTTTTCAAATGCATCTGAGCCCAGAGAGCTGACTGAGAGGACCTGGCAGTGTTCTTATCTTCCTCACATTGCCGTGTGACTCACAGCATTACCAGGCAGCACAGTCATTAGGGGCAAGAAGACCTTTCATATCTCAGTCAGCCCCACGGCTCTCCGCAGGGCCGGCCAACAGGGACCCACACTCGCCCCCTCCTTTCTCTGTGCCGAGCTTTTTGTCTCTGTCCCACTATTCTCCGTTGTGCTCCTGTCTGGCGATGTCTCACACAGATTTAATGTCAGGTGTTCTCTCACTGTGTTAAATAAGTCATTTTTTGTGTGCCTGGAGGGGACAGAGCCCATGTTTCCCCTGTCAACCACAACCATCACAGCTGCATACACCCACACACGCAGACACTGAATACGTGATGTTTGTGTGTTCGGCAGACAGCAGCAGCAAGGACTGAGTGTGTGTGCCGGAGATATAAGAGGTATTCAGGCGTGGGCTGCCGCCGGCTGCAGGGACATTTTACCCCATCCCTCCTCACCGCCTCGGCTTCCTGACGCCCACCTGCATTTTCCGAGGACACAGACTGCAGGCCTAACTCACGACGGTGGGATGAGTTTAACGTTGCGTGCTCTCCCGATCGATGTGCACGTTTGCTCGTGAGTGACGGCTTGGATGAGCAGGGACAATAATATGTGGTCACAGCCCGCCTTCTTAAGGCTGCGCCAGCAGGGCTGACAATCAGATGACTGGCACAGAGAAACCAAGGCTCCAGGCAAAAAAGGTAAAACGTGGCATAATTTAGGAGAGCAAAGCGTGTGCCCATGTGTGCACATGTGTGCAGAGACAGTGTAACTGAAGCCTTGCTGAAGGATTTTTCAAAGGAAGCTGATTGATTTAAACAGCTTTTTACTGACTTTGTGCCACTGTGCAGCTCACATGTGCTGCAAAACAACTCAAGCTGCAGAGAGACACCACTCGCTCCAATTTACCGCAAATGCAAATGACGAAATGAAACGACAAACAGTTCAGAGAATATGAAAAAAAGTGGTGAAAAACAGAGAAAATGCAAAATAAAATCAAGTTTCTATCCACCAACCAGGCATGTCCAAAGTCTCCTTCAGCTACAACCATTTATAGTTCATACAGAGCAATAAAATACATTTTTAATATCATCCCTTTACGGATTTTATGGATTACGAGCTACTGTTGTTTGGAAAAGCGATTGAGCCGTTTCAGCTGCTGTGATCAAATCATATCAACATGATTTATACGTGACAGAGTCGTCTAAAAATGACCGAGCCACCTGATTCTGCTGCTCCACTGAGATTTATTGTGTCTTTAAGTGGGTACTTTTGATTTTCTTGTCCACTGTTTCGGCCGAGTGTCACTTTTCTGGTCGATGCTGTTCTCTGGCACAGCGAGCAGCTTTTAGCGAATAAACCTCCCCAAACACACAGTACTCAGGTCTGCAGGCTCAGTGTCGAGCTGGAAAACACGGCGGAGCATTTATCGGCTCAAGAGCCGGATACTTTGCCCAGGAGGGAGTGGAGACAAAATCAGAGCTAAAAGGAGAATTACTGGATGCAAATAAAGACACAAACATGACTAAAGATAGTCTGAATCTGTTGGATGTTTAGCCTCTGCAGCATGATTAAGACAGACAGACGCCGCCTCACCTCATGTTTGCCCTTCATCCTGCAGATCCGGATGTCGTTCTTGTTTGACTCCCACGTTCTTTTCTATAAATGAAATGAAACACGGATAAATGCTGCGGCTTACCCTGGCATTTCTCTCGTGGAAAATGACATTTTCCAGCTTGGAGACAAGTGACGTGCGCACCTAAAAGGCTGTAACTGCCATGCGTGTCTGCTAAGAAGGTGCTTACCTTGTTGTAAAACATCTCATCTCCTGCAGTGGTGTCCAGCTCCACACGAAAAAGGTCATCCCTGGAGAGGGAGACACAGAGATGGAGTTAGACAGCACAGCTCCATCCAGAGCTAACAGCAAGGCAACATCGGCTCCTTCCTAACGTGGATTCTTTTGCTAGCTCGAGTACATCATCTGCATTTGTAACCTGTGTTTGCTTTGAGTATAATTTAGCCACAGCACACGCAGCTATGTGACGCAAACACACACAGAAATGCTGTTTATTCATTTAAAGTTCATAAGAGCAACAGAGATTAAGGAAGAGCTTTACAGTGTCTTCCATTTGTCCCAATATATACAGAAAAATGGCCCCAAATTTGGCTTATCAGTCTTTTCTAGTCCTAAAATTGAATTAATGGATGATTTAATCAAGTTGTTACACTGATGCTTTCACGCCCCAACACGCTGTCCACACGTGGTCCAAAACCCTAACACCATGCATGTATTCATGACTTCCCAAACACTTCTTTTTTTGCACTCTTAGTCTGCTGTTTGCAGTAACCTTGAAAAATGCCTCCTAAACCAGAGTTAGGCTAAGAAGCTAACAGCTGACATTTGCATATTGATGAGGGCCAGGACGGATCTGAAGCATGGGTTTCTTCTGAAGTGGCTAATCTGTAAATCTGCCACAGCCATGTTAGTCCCGCAGTATCGATCCATCTCTGACCCAGCTCTACCTTCCATCTGTGCTGCACGAACTCTCCTAATTTCTTTCACAGAAGGCGAGGCGCACAAGTGCTTGCTCATGTGAGCTGGAGAGTGTGTATCTGTGTGTGTTTGCATCTAATTTTAACGAGAGAGGCGGCTGTGAGAATGCATGCTTGATAAGAGCCCAGGTAGGCCAAGAGCCAGCAGGTCACCCCTCTTCTGAATAATTTATCTTCACTTCCTGTTGCTGTGTCAGAATATTACAGCCCTTTCAGCACATCAGAGCGGGAGAATTGTTAAGTGGCGAAGAAGTGCAAAATCACCAAACAATGGCTTGGTGTATCCCTGCTTAACAGGTCAAAGTTTAAGCATCCTCAAATCAGCGGAGAGGGCGAGAGAGTGAGACGTAATCTCATCCAGGCTGCTTCAGCATCGTCTCGGCATGATGAATACAGCAAAAGGCCTCCGAGTCGGTGGGGCTGGCAGCCAGCACTGTTGTCTCTCGTAGTGCAGACCATGAGGAATTATTTACACTGCTGCTTCTCTTTCCTTCTGCACTTCAGGTTGTTCGAATGACGCAAAGCCTGGATGCTTTTCTTTGTTTACATGCGCGATAGCCGGTTTCTGTGTGCTGCTTGTGACATAAGGTTGGAGTTAAGGGTGTGCAAAGAGTTCACGTTTATATTGCAAGATGTGTGTTAAGCCTTCAAATCACCTCATAGGTTTTCCTGAGAGCACAATCAACAAGTGTCTCTTTGTAGCCTCATCTACGTGTACGATACCCACGTGCCGGAGTTATTATTTTAGAAATGCCTCCAAACCTTTTGACCTGGTAATTCAAAGTCAACACAGGCTCAATCGAAACTATTTTCTTACTCAACCAGCTCATGAACTTTCTACAAACACCAGCAGGCTGAAGGTCGAGACCTCTCAAATTGCCCTCTTGGCCAGGTCTCTCTTAGAAAAGAGATTTGAATCTCAGTGAGACTTTTACTTGGATAAATAAAGGACAACGATGTTTTTTCTTGCCATAGCTGCAGTATTGTGCTGCTTTTCTGAGTGAAAATCCAGCGTGCAGCAGAAGTTACAGCAGTGAAGGAACAAAAATGGAGGAACTGACACCGACATTAATGACTGAGAGGAGTCCGGTGTAAGTATGCGAGAGAGGGGACATCAGGTATCTGCAGACCACATCCTGCACACCATCAGCATTTCACTGAGAGAGCAACAGTTTGATCAAAGGCCTTCTTCAGACATTAAATTTAGGACATTTGGATATTCAGCGGCCAAAATAAGCATGCAGATAACATTATGGCTCTGCTATGACCGACACCCTCAGTCTTAAGCATGACCCTCTGGTCATGGGTCATGGGTAGTTGTGCGCCTTCTTCTCTAAAGTGATACAATCTGCAGATGCAGTTTGGCAGAAAGGAAACCTTTCTCAAATAGAACTGCTCAAAACAAGGTTTGGGCATTTATTTGATATCTGGTTGCTGATGAGGTATTTGAATGCCTCTTAGGGTGAGTGGCATCGACAGATATATTTTATTCAGCATAAGGCAGAGAAAGATATGTCCAAAACAACGTTCAATGGAAAAGCAACACTACAGTCCAAAGGAACAGAACTGTGGCTTGAAGTGTACTTAAGTCTTTTGAGTGTGATGGAGAGAGACGGGCGTCGCTGTTCCACCGTACAGCAAAACGATCACTGCTGGAAGCTGAAAAGCAGTTCCTGTTATTTTCATTCATTTTTCATGTTTTTGGTAACGCGGTGAGGTGATCCTGAGAGTTGCACTCTCAGCCTTGTTTACCAGGACTTGCAAAAGAGAGCACATTACTCCAAACCTGGCTTGTATGTCTTAGAGCTCATTTTAAAATTCCAAAGTTTGTTTTTAAATGCTTAACGGTCTTGCCATCCTTACTCACCCTGTTCAGGCTGTTCGATATAACGATATATACCGGATGACGATATAAAAACGTCTATCATTTCATTTTACGCTATCTTTGTTTCGTGGTATCGCAAAATAAACTGTTTACGGCAATATTTTTTTCATCTTTTTGATGGTCACTGTAGTGGCTATATTAATTTCTTAAAGTTCTCTCTTTCTCTTATATTTTATATAACCACACTACAGACGGACAAGCGCCTGTTTTTATGCGTTGTGGTTAGCAACAACGACGGTCACACCATCGCGTGTTCGCTTGTTTATGTTCCACATAAACCTTTCACAATAAAGCTCAAGATCCTGTTGAGACTTTTCAAAATAAACTGAATCACGTGAAAGAGCAGATTATTTACGGATGAGAAGTAAAAAAGAGCCGCCAGGTGCTAAAAAATATACCTTAGACTCAAACGTTAGAACAGGCTTTTCCCCGCAGCACGCCGTGTAATAAATACTCACAAAGAAAACGGCGCCGTTACAACTTATGTCTAAAAATGTATAGTTTCATGCATTGGTTAAAACACTCGACTCCAGCTACATGACGCGCAGCTGGAAACACTTCCCGCAAGTCGAGCTGCCCGAAATTCACAGAATTTACAGAAAATGTTACATTTCTGTGATTTATATCGTTATCGGACGATAGAATTCTAATATCGGGATATGAGATTTTGGTCATATTGCACAGCCCTACCCCCGGGTTCTCAGGTCAGCTGACGAGCTGCTCCTGGAGGTACCAGGGTCCAAGAGGAAGCTCCGAGGGGACAGGGCCTTCTCTATGGCTGCTCCTAACCTCTGGAATAACCTGCCTCTGCACATTAGTGAGGCCCCTTCATTGTCCATTTTTAAAACTAGTGCTGTCAGCGTTAATCTCGTTAAGATTACGTTAAAGCCATAACCTCATTAACGCGGTAAATCTCTGTTAGCGAGTTATCGCGGATCGCCCCGTGCGTGGGGTTGCATGGCGTCAATGGGTTAACGAGCAGTTATGCCGTTAACGTCATTTTAACGAGATTAACGCTGACAGCACTACTTAAAACCCATTTTTACTCCTTGGCTTTTCACAGTCTGATCGTGATTTTCCTGCTATACTTTAATCTAATGCACTGATTTTATTGTTTTTATTTCATTTTAATTATTATTATTTAATTTTATTATTATTATTATTATTTTTAAACTTAATTTAATGTACCGGTTTTTTTGCCATGTCAAGTGTACAGCACTTTGTTTCCAGCCTGGATTGGTCTGAAAGTGCTATTTAAATAAATTGCTTGCTTGCTTTACATACTAAACTTTCCCTTCCGGCCTCGGTAGAGTGTCTCCCTGTCTGACTGCCACAAGCCAACTGACCTTCAAGAGTCACATTAGCGGGCTAACACAGTAAAAAACATCCAGACTGGCAGCAAGTTATCACTTCCCACTCCAGGTAATGTAGAATGTGCAGATAAAACATGCGCGCACACACACATACACGCCTACACGCACACAGACTGACAGCACAAACATCTTACAAGTGGAACAGTTATTCAAGAGTTTGAGTCATTCCTTCAGTCATGCTGTCAATTGGTAAACTCTCCAATTGGTTTATGTTTGTGTGGATTTGCCTGTTGGATCTGACTCGGGGCTGAGGACCACAGGATCCACAGCTGCTCGTCTTAACAGCAATGAAATGGGGCTTAACGCAGCAAGACTCTTACTCCACTTGGCACCAGTCAAATACAGAGTTTACTTTCATTTAGCGGGGATGGGAAGAGGACACGGAGAGGTAGCAGCTCTCAGCGGGCGTCTGGGGCAGGGATTTAGCAGTGCTTGCAGTCAGAGGAGCAACTATGCTAATGGCGACAGGATTTGGGGATGAGTGAGGCGTCTTATCAGGCCACGCACTCTGTCGAAGCTTTTGGCAGTCATACCTGCCACCACAGGTACTTATTCATACAGTGTACATTTTAAAACTCAGTCACCCTGCTGGGCCGTCTCTGGCTCACAAATGCGTTTGCACATGGATCTATTTCTTTCCAGGCTGATCGTTTACCACCAGGAAGCCACAAACACTATTAGCCACTTACAAAAAGATAGAAATATAGTCTCGAAACTTTCTCTCTGCTTGCCTCCCCCGCTGCCCCGCCTGTAAGCTTAGTATTTTCTCATCATCCGGTTGGTTGACATTCAGATCAGATTTCTCCTCCTGTTCAGGAACAATTTCTACAGCTGTAAATTCAAATTAATTTTTTAAGTGTTTCATGGCCGCTTGTTATAAAGCAGACCTTCAAACTGCAGTAGCTATAGTTGTCTGTGGGAAGTTTTATTGCCCGACCGTGTGCATGTGTGTGCTTATAGATCCTCCCGGTGCAGACAGAATGGCTGGAACCAAGCTACATAGTTTGATATATTTACTACCGAGTCTCAGCAGTGAAGTTAGGCCTGCTGGAGGCAGGGGACTGGGTCATTTCCTGGAGGACAGCGGCGTCTCTTATTGGAAACCGCTTCAATCTTCCTTCCACTACAGCAAATAATCAGCACCATATGTAGAAACTAACTGTCTCCTTCTTTCGGGATGTTTCAAACTGTGTTACTTTCTGGACAACATGGACAGTAAATCTTAACGTGCATGCTCTTTTTTTTAGCACGGTTGCTTCAGGTCGGCTCCTGAATGGCGTCGGTGGAGAACCAGATGTTGCACAGCAGTGGCGCAGGTGAGGAGACCGGCCTTTCTGACCACCGGGGCTACTATCTGTTCAGGATCACTGCCTTCAGCAGACTGACAGGCACATGGGGACCATCATCACACGGAGAACAAACTAGAAATCACTCAACTTGATATTTGTCAGGTCAAATATCAGCCCTCACATGCAGCTACTCCACAGAAGAGAGCGACAGCTAAAGGAACACGTTACTAGCTAGTAATAAAACGATAACATGCATTCAATCTTTCTGTCTTAATGTTTACAGATGGCATGCAGCACGCCGTGGCTCGTGGTTATCTTTTCAACATGGCTGCGAGGCTATTCTGCGCAGGCCTACATAACGTTTCCATGTGCTCAGTTCTAAAGTTCCTGTTTGAGAAGGAGAACTGCTACCGTGGTGGCATCGTGTTGCTGTCACACATGTTTTCTTCTAACAGATGTCAGAGTAACACGAAGCAGCTGTGCCAGTCTGCCAGGTTCCTACTAACTCAGAGGTCTGCCTTGTAACTATTAATTTATTTGTCAATAAACTTATTTTGGAAGATTAATAATACATGCTAAAACCTGAGGGGAGACGCTTGTTACCCTGCGAGCAAGCTAATCTCAATTACTCCTTACTAACTTCGTGTGTGTGTCCAAGCTGTCATTATAACAGTATCGCAGAATCAGGTGCAGCGTGTTTGACAGTGTTGTTTTATGTGTTGCATTTGAAAGGCGAGACATTTCAGGAGGAACCGATGACTGAAAATTACATATGCTGTTTAATAATTACACATCGGGGGTGGCGGTGGCTGTGGACGTGGAGCAGCTCATCCACTCTTCCAGTCCATGGTCAAGTGTGTGTGATGGATAAAAGTGTGAAAACATAACATAAAGTGCTGTACATATGCGTGTGTGACTTAGAGTGCTTTAAATATACAAAATGAAAGTATAATATACTGTGAATGTCAGTGTATTTACTGTTTAATTGGCTCGTGTGAAACCAGTACATAAACAAGCTAATCGATTTAATAGGGAATGGTAATGTAAGTGTTTTTTGACCAGTGTGAGGTTGGCATTAATGGTTATAATGAAGAAAATGTCATATTCTGGAAAGAAGTAAATAAAATAATCGATATAGAAAATTTTACAAGTGTTCTAAAAACATCAGTTCTCACATCTCTTTAGCTAATGTTTTACTGGTCATGTTCTGCCGTCATTCTCCAAATGTCACCAGTTCTTCAGTATTTATGTTCCTATGCTGTGCGAGTGGACTCGAGGCTACTAAAAGCTAGTCTCCTGATACTTTTGGCTGATCGCTCAGGATCCACAGAGTCTCTTTAAGTCTCTCAAGAGACAAAGTTTATTAAAGAAAGGCTAATGGTCCAAGCAGGTCCCACAGGCTACACATCCTGGGCTTTGTGGTGCCATGTTTCACGGGTCAAAAACTATTGACTTTTTTGCGTGTGTTGATGTAACATCTGGGAGTACTTCAGCCTCAGCTGTACTTGCACATTTCCTCTGAGATGAATCCTGACGTTAGCACTAAGGAGTATCCACATGGGGAGCGATTCGCTTGTGGCTTCTGGGTGCTCGCAGACATTTCAGGTGCCGGTTGTTTAGCTAACCATCTGTTCCATTCACCACGCTGTCACGTGTCCAGCACTGCCCTGCACTCTCACTGGTGGTTGCTTCAGCTGTTTGGTATTGCCAGCTGCTTGTTCGTATCTACCTCCTTGAAGTTGTGGAAACTCTGCACCTCATAGTGGTTGAGTTTCTTCTACTGGTTATGAATTTAAATATATTGTACAAAATATATTGTGTATAATTTATTTAACAATAAATTGGGAATAAAAACTGATATGTGTACGTTAAATATTTTATGGTGCCCAGGTCAGCTCAAATGCTCTCGCCAGCATCAGTAGGAGGCGGTGAAGCATCCACCTCTCCAGGAGTACAAATTGGGTCGATGAGTCGGTGACGCGAAATCCGTCCTTGTCATGAAAGTTAGACACGGATCTAACTTTGGATCTAACAAACTCTTAAAGCAGTGAAACTGTTTATCAGAGGGAACGTATGATTTTTAGGAAACTCCAGTCCAACATTAGCTGGAATAACATGAGCTTAGAACCAGCTATTGTTGTTATAGCCAATTCTTTGTCTGCGGTATAGAAGCCGGAAGGTCATGTGTCTAATCTGCATATTGTCTTAGGTTAAATCTCTGACTTCGGCTCTGGAGATGACGCTTCAGGTGAGGAGGAAGAGGATGAGGTGGAGATGAGGAAGATGAGAGCAGTGGTGGAGGAGGAAGATGAAGAGGATGAGAAAGAGATAATGAGAAAGACATGATGAAAACTGAAAGAGCTATTTTTTCTTTCTAAATGAAAACATGGACGCTTTTCTGTAGTTCTTTAGGCAAATTTAGGAATTCTCATGCAAATGGAATGCCACTGGGATACGGAGGGTTAACCAGGCTGCTGCTTCTCGCTTCCTGTCTGGACACAGCTGAAGTTAAACTTGCTCACTTTGAGTCAGGAGTGTATGTTTCACACATGTGAAGTCACCAAATGTCACTCACTTTCCGTGA